GGCCCAGAACAAATCTTCCCCCATTTGTTGTTTGTTTAGGATCTCCCCTTCAACATTCACAATCTCTGCGTCCAAAACGTTGTCGACGGAGAGCCCAAATTTCCTCATCAAAGTCCCATACCCACCTCCTGAAATGTGTCCACCAGCACCCAGCGTTGGGCAGACTCCTCCAGGGAAGGCATGGACTTTGCTCTTGCTAGCAATGGCGTGGTAAAGCTCCCCCATGGTGGCCCCTGCTTCCACCGTGGCAGTTTCACTGGCAATATCGACAGTGATGGCTCGAAGGTTGAAGAGGTCGAGGATGACGAAGGGATGATGGGAGATATAAGAGAGGCCTTCATAATCATGGCCCCCACTGCGGATTCTGATCTCTAAGCCAGCCTGTTTGGCGCAGACGACGGTTGATTGGACGTGAGATTTGAGCTTTGCTGCGACAATGAGTAGCGGTTTAGGGGTTTCGGGGGTGAGAAATCTGCTGTTTCTGATGTAAGAATTGAGGGTTGGTAAGAAGGTAGATTTGTCGGGGGTGAAAATGGCGTCAGAAATGGGGGACTGATGCTGCGCGTGTGTGGTTAGACATTGGAGAAAGGTGTCGTGAGCAGAAGCAGAGGAGATCCATGGGGAGAGAAGCAAGATGAGAGAGAGGAATGCGAGGAGGGAAGAAGAAGAGGACGATGAAGGCCCCATTTGTGTAATGGTTTGAGGATGTTTGGGAGATTTGGTGTTGTTATATAGGAGAATATGAGGATGGACAGACCGTGAATTCAGTCGTCGTCGTCTCCAATTTTGGCCATTTCTTGTTTTGCTTCTGTGGACATTTCTTCAATTGCCATTTCCACGTTCGGCGCAACTATGGGTAATTATATAAACGCATGATTTGGTTTGTTTAATTAGGAAAGGATTACCCTAACTCAAATATGTGACGATGTTGTAATTATTGAATGCATGTGTAATGTCATGTCCAAGACTCGAAAATTTGGATTCGGAACCTTATAGCTTTGACATTCATTTGCATCATCAACCACATAATCACCTTACTTCTTGCTTAGTTTAAAAGTGAAAGACCATCCCAACTAATTTGTCTTCACACATATGCACATTTAGTTTTATGAAGATGCATTTTAGTGGTATAATTAGCAACTTCAATTCCCTTAAACCTTTCATGAAGATGCATCTTAGTGGTACAATTAGCAACTTCAATTCCCTTAAACCTTTCTTAATCATCTTGTCATCAAGACCATTTTCATGCCCAAAGCCCTCTACGGTGTTTCCCTTTCCCTTTGTCATCCGCCCCAAACATCAAGCATCATACTCCTCTCTCCTCTCTTAATCTTTCAAGAGTTGATATTCCTTCATTTTATTGAAAAGATGTGATACTTTATTTATGACCATTTGGCAAAGACTTCATTTTTTTTTAATGATTTTAGTTTAAAGTCTTTATTTTTACTTGTGTCTTCGCCCCAACTCGCCACAGAGATTGAACTTTTTCCCCTCCAACAACCAAAAAAAACCTGTGTACTCTTCAGAGTAGAGAGTTGTAATGTTATATATTTGAGGTCCATAGAAATGAATGTTGGGGTAAAATGAAGTGAAAAACAAGCGTATTAAGTTAAAGAAATAAGAAAATCAATCTATTATTTATTAATCTGACAGTGGTCAGTTAAAACAACAACCAACACAGTACCATTCGACAGCTTCTAGGATAAACGGATGAGAAAAAGGATCGTTCAAATAAAATTAGAAAAAGAAATTTCGGATTACTTTATACCCAAGTAAGATGATGGGGTCAACTAAAAGTAAGCAGCCAAATAACAAAGCAGATTGAGAACTTCTCCAAGACTAGCAAGCATCTTCTCCGGTGAAAGCTGCATAGCGAATAGAGCCTGCTACTCCTATGATATATATATATATATATATAGGAAATGTAGAAAGTAGAGATACAAACTAGTTTCAGAAGCAAGCAACAAAACCTTGAACAGCTCAGCTCAGCTCAGCTCATGTTCAACATTCTGAAGGTATCATCAGCTCATGGTGTAGTGTATCAAGCAAATCCTTCGCAGACTAACTTATTGAAAACTAGAATCCACAAGAAACTATGTCTCAATACAAATATATATATATATATATATATATATATGACTGATGGAAAGAACTCATGTTCAAAATTTCCAGGATAGCATAACCAGCTAGCTAGCAAAACGTTTTAACAACTGAAAGTTTCTCGAGCAATGTGTATTATGCTTGCAGGAATCCAAAACCAAAATGATAATCTCATAAAAGAAAGGGAACAAAAAGACACAAAAGGTTAGAGTTTTAACTTCCTCAAGCAAGTCGAATGAATGCTGCTATGACTTAAGCTTGAGAAGCAGCATCAACCTTCTCTTCTGCATCATCCGTCCCTGCATTAACAGTGACACCATTTTCATCTTCTCCTGGTGGTTGCACTTGATCCTCCTCAGCCAGTGGCTCCTCAACATAATCATTCTCAAATGCATCTGCAGGAACCTCATAGATCCTAACCTGTGGTTTCGATGGGTCCTTGACCAAAACATACTTGCCTTCGTTCAATTTCATGCACAAATCCACGATAGACTTGACAATACCCCACATGTTAGACGTATTCAAGTTAATTTGAGCTGCAAAATCCTTAGGTTTATATCCAACAACGGCTAAGATGACATGGTTGAAGTGATCGCGAGGATGAACCCTAGAGACATACCCCAACTTCATCATATCTGCGCTAGCCAACAGAGCTTGAGCTGTCCATTTTGCCAATTTATTAGCATTGTTCTTCAACTCAGTGGCCAACACAGCACCCCTCTGTGTCTCCAATTTCTGCCTCCAATCGACACCAGAATATTTGGGATCAAATTCATTAAGAGCATTCAGAGTCAAAAATGATCTTTGCTTATTAACCTCCATAACACTTTGAACCTCACACCTCGCCACAAGATACATATCATCATCGAGCTTCCATCTCCTATACCTATAAGCAACAGAAGCGACCTCCTCACCCTCATTTGCAAATGGGTTTGGCTCATCGAAGGCCACCTTACTTCCGTCCCTAACCAAAACTTGCTGCGAGAAGTTCTGATTAATGTAAGCAGCTTCAACACTCAGTGAGTAAGCTGAATTGATATCGTCCTTCGCTTCTGGCAAGGGTTCCTGAGAAGTCTCGTGGACGGGAAGCAAATCAAGTTGCGACCCATCCCTCTTATCAAAGAAAAGCTTGTTCCCAACACGCTGAACCACAATATCCCAGGAGTAAACCGATCTGGTTGCGCACATAAGGGAAGAAAGGATGGCATCGGTAGCAAAAACTGTGGCTTTGTCCTCATTAGCAAGACGACGAATGACAGGGTCGTCTGTAGTAGTTACCTTGAAGAAGTTGCGGTTCTTGAAGCGCTCAAGGCGGCGCTCGTTCTTGGGAGTGATTCGGTCGTATGCACGATCATAGAACTCTAGCCCGCCGCACAGAAGAAGGTCTTCGGGCTCAGGAACAGAGAAGGACAGCTTCGAGAACGTGGAGAAGGGAATCTGATCAAGCATGTTCCATTCGGGTTGAATTTCCACAGAGGATTTGAAAACAGCAGCTTCACGACGGGGGGCATTGACATTAGACCTATTGAGGTTGTAAAGACGATCACGGCGAGCCCGCTCCTTCTCAGCCTCGCGCTTCCGAGCTTCAACTTCTTCGTCACGGCGCTGAGGTAGCTGCGTCCTTTGTTGGTTGAATCGCCATTTAGGGCCAAATTTGGGACGCGGAGGAGGCTTTCCATCAACCAAACGGAAGGACATGTCCTCGTCCGCATTGGCTGGGAAGGAATCGTCATTGGTGAAGTCGAAGACGGAATCGGAAGCAGTCTTGGGGCGACCAGGGTTATTCATAGTTCGGGTCCAATCAGCGATCCGGCCAAGCCTATCGGAGCGAGAGAAGGGAGCGAAGGGAACATTGAGAGGGAGGTTGGAGGAAGCGACGAGAGAATCGGTAGAGTCCGGCGGACCCCAACCGTCCGGGTTGTAGGGAACAGCTCCCACTTCAAAGCCTCCGACCATCTGTAATCGGATAGAGTTTCTCCGATCCGAAGGAAGAGGCAAAACCAGAGTTGGAGCGGCACCAGGGAGCAGCAGGAGAGGCGGGCGGATGAAGAAACCCTAGCCTTATGGACTTCAGTGAAGAGAAGGTGTAAAATTACAATTCAGCCCCTCTAGCCAAAGTAACGATCATTGTCTCTTTATAATGAGAGAGAATAAATATTATTCCTTTTTTAACTTTTTTTTTTTTTTTCTTTTAAATTATTTTCTTGTTTTTATCCCAATTTTAAAACAATTAGGAAGATAATTATGTTTTTATTTACCGAATAATGTTGGATTTGGTAATATAATGACTATATTAATGATAATAAAATTGAATTCATAAATAGAAAAGTTGATTAGTTTTCTTAATATAGAAATGAATCCGGTGGATTTCCTCAATTTTACTATTCCTTTTCAATGCAATGTATTATGTAACATACATTTTATTTTTTAAAAATTGAAAAAATTATCCAAAACTATTTTCAAATATAAGCACTCTGTGAAATATGTTTTTTTCTTTTAAATATTTGAAATTAGATTGGAAAAGGATAATCGAGTAATACGAAGAATTAAAATGATTGAGAATTAGGGATTAATCCAATTCTCAAATTTTGATTACGCAAACTTGACACTTCCTAATTAAGCAAATCAAATCATGTGTTTATTTTATTACCAATAGTTGCACCCAACGTGGAAATGGCAATCCAAGAAATGTCTACAGAAGAAAAAAAAAACTAGAAATGGCCAAAATCGGAAACGACGACAGAATTCACGGTCTTTCCATCCTCGTATTCTCCTATATATATATAACAACACCAAATCTCCCAGACATCCATCCTCAAACCATTACGCGAATGGGGCCTTCATCTTCCTCTTCTTCTTCCTCTTCCTCTTCCTCTTCTTCTTCCTCTTCCTCTTCCTCTTCTTCTTCCTCTTCTTCTTCCCTCCTCGCATTCCTCTCTCTCGTCTTGCTCCTCTCTCCATGGCTGAGAGTCTCCTCTGCCTCTGATCACCACACCTTTCTCCAATGTCTAACCACACACGCACAGCATCAGTCCCCCATTTCTGACGCCATTTTCACCCCCGACAACTCTACCTTCTTACCAACCCTCAATTCTTACATCAGAAACAGCAGATTTCTCACCCCCGAAACCCCTAAACCCCTACTCATTGTCGCAGCAAAGCTCAAATCTCACGTCCAATCAACCGTCGTCTGCGCCAAACAGGCCGGCTTAGAGATCAGAATCCGCAGTGGGGGCCATGATTATGAAGGCCTCTCTTATATCTCCCATCATCCCTTCGTCATCCTCGACCTCTTCAACCTTCGAGCCATCACTGTCGATATTGCCAGTGAAACTGCCACGGTGGAAGCAGGGGCCACCATGGGGGAGCTTTACCACGCCATTGCTAGCAAGAGCAAAGTCCATGCCTTCCCTGGAGGAGTCTGCCCAACGCTGGGTGCTGGTGGACACATTTCAGGAGGTGGGTATGGGACTTTGATGAGGAAATTTGGGCTCTCCGTCGACAACGTTTTGGATGCAGAGATTGTGAATGTTGAAGGGGAGATCCTAAACAAACAACAAATGGGGGAAGATTTGTTCTGGGCCATTAGAGGAGGAGGAGGAGGGAGCTTTGGAGTCATTCTCTCATGGAAGATAAAATTAGTTAAAGTCCCAGAAACGGTGACGGTCTTTGAAGTTGAGAGACTGATTGAAGAAGAAGCAACGGACATCTTCTTGCAGTGGCAGGGAGTCACAGATAAGCTTGATGAGAATCTGTACATAAGACTGATGCTAAACTCCGCCAAGGGGAAAGATGGGCTGAAAACAGGGAAAGTTTCATTGGTGGCGCTGTTTCTAGGGCCAGCAAACACGCTCATGGAGATTATCAATCAGCACATACCCAGTTTGAAATTGCAGAAGGAGGATTGCACTGAAATGAGTTGGATTCAATCGGTTCTGTTCTGGGCAAATTTCCCAAAAGGGTCAACCTCAGAAGCTCTGTTGGACAGAGCAGTCCGACCCAATACTTTTCTGAAACGGAAATCGGACTACGTGAGGGAACCCATTACAGAGTCGGGGTTGGACGCGATATGGAAGGCGGTGATGGAAACAGAACGAGTGGGTATCGTGTGCAACCCATACGGAGGCAAAATGGGCCAGATTTCAGAGACGGAGACGCCATTTCCACACAGAGCTGGCGTGAAATTCAAAATCCAGCACTCCACCACCTGGAAGGAAGAAGGGGAAAAAGAAGCGAATGAACGCTTAAACATGATTAACAAATTGTACGAAGCAATGACTCCTTACGTGACCAAGAATCCGAGGGAAGCGTATCTGAATTACAGAGACATTGACGTGGGAACTAGCACGCATTGGAACGTGGGAGAAGGAAAGGTTTATGGGGAGAGGTATTTCAAACAGAATTTTGAAAGATTGGTGGACGTGAAGACCAAGGTTGATCCACAGAATTTCTTCAGGAATGAACAGAGTATCCCCACCCGTTGATCTCTCCTCAGTCAACGAAGATGAAGCATGTCGACTATGATATGTTTTGATATAATATCTGAAAAATAATAAGTGATTGTAGCCGTCACTTTGAACGAATGGTTATTATACTCACATTGGTTATCTATGAAATCAAAAGCCTTCTAATTACTTTCTTCATAGACTTGTTTACTTTTTAAAATTACGTACAAAAATAACTTGATTAGCCGTACAACTTAACCTTCAACAGAGGTATTAACTGTTTTACTCAACCTTGGAAGTAATAGGAAGAACCAACAACCAATGGTCAATGAGAATGCCTTTTTTTCATCGTTTTCCTCCCCACGCCACTTCAATTTTAGCTCATCCTCGGTCGCCCATGGTGATTCCTACTTCATTATTAATCCCAATCCTTACAACCCTTCTCCTCATTCTCCCTTCAATGGCGGCGGCTTCTCATCACAACACCCTTCTCAGCTGCCTTTCCGACCATTCTTCGCCATCAGCTTCCCCAATCTCCGAAGTTACCTTCTTCCCGACAACCCATCTTACTCCCCTGTCTTGAACTCTTACATCAGGAATCTAAGGTTCGCCTCCCCCACTACCCCTAAGCCCTTGTTCATCGTCGCCCCGACCCATGTCTCCCACATTCAAGCCTCCATTCTCTGTTGCAGAATCCACGCCCTAGAACTCAGAATCCGAAGTGGTGGCCATGATTACGACGGCCTCTCTTATGTCTCCGATTCCCCTTTTGTGATCCTCGATATGTTCAACCTTCGATCTGTAGCTGTCGACATTGAGGACGAGAGTGCGTGGGTGGACTCGGGAGCAACCCTCGGCGAAGTTTACTTCAAAATTGCAGAGAAGAGCAAGATCCACGGATTCCCAGCTGGGGTTTGCCCCACGGTTGGAGTTGGAGGCCATCTCAGCGGCGCCGGATACGGTAATTTGATGAGGAAATTTGGGGTTTCTGTGGACAATGTAGTTGATGCTCTGATTGTTGATTCTAATGGTAGGGTTTTAGATAGGGAATCAATGGGGGAAGATCTGTTTTGGGCAATTAGAGGAGGAGGTGGAGCTAGTTTTGGTGTCATAGTTTCATGGAAGTTTAAGCTTGTTCCTTTACCTGAAACTGTCTCAGTTTTTAGAATAGAGAAAACCATGGAGGAAGGTGCTGTAGATATGTTGTACAAATGGCAGGAAGTTGCTGACAAAATTGATGAAAATCTGTTCATAAGAGTGGTGATTCTTCCTGTAAATAAAAAAACCCAAAAGACAGCAAAAGCCAAGTTCATCTCCTTGTTCCTAGGAAGTGCCCAGAAGCTGTTTTCCTCAATGTCTGAAACACTTCCAGAATTGGGTGTGAAGGCCGAGGATTGTCTAGAAATGAGCTGGATCGAGTCTGTTCTGTTCTGGTCCAACTACCCCATTGGGACTCCTCTCAATGTGTTGCTCGAAAGGCAACCCAACTCCGAAAAGTTCTTGAAGAAGAAATCGGACTACGTTCAAGAGCCAATCTCCAAGGCAGATCTGGAAGGAATGCTGAGGAAAATGATGGAACTGAAAAGACCAGCGCTGACCTTCAACCCATACGGTGGGAAAATGAGTGAAATTGCAGAGAGGGAAACCCCATTCCCACACAGAGCAGGGAACAAATACAAAATACAGTACTCAGTGACATGGAAAGAAGAAGGCGAGGAGGCTGCAGACAAATACGTGGGGCTGATCAGAGAGCTTTACGAGTACATGACACCCTATGTTTCAAAATCGCCTAGAAGTGCTTATTTGAACTACAGAGACGTGGATTTGGGCGTACGCAAGCTATTAGGAGGCGAGCCACTGGGGAAGAAAGTATTTCAAGGGAAACTTTGACAGAATGGTGGAGGTGAAGACCATGGTGGATCCGGGCAACTTCTTCAGAGATGAACAGAGCATTCCATCTGTTGCAGCAGCCTTTGATTCTAATGGCAGAGCTGAGAGCCTTTGATGTGTGAATATCTGCTTGGCTGAGTGATCCATCTTCTACTACACTAAAATGCAAAAACGTCCCTTTTCCTTTCTTCTGGGGGTTCGTTCCTATATTATCTCAGGGATTTGAGCAATTAAGCTTAATTATCCCATTAGTTGCCTTAGCTATGTGGTAACTAGATTTTGTAAGTTCGTATAAATAATAGGGATTTAGTTCACTGCAGATCGGGCAAATATCTTTTGAAACAATTCTTGAAATGGAAAAATAGGAATACAAAGTTGGTCCAAGAAACCATTCTCTAAAACTAGCTTGGGTTTTGGAATTTTCTTTTGTTCATATCTTTCAAACGAGAGTATTCAACAATCAATAACAGGCAGTTAACAAAGACTAAGAGAGGTCATACTTATCACTTCAAGATATCTAAAACATGAAATCTGTACAAACAAATAAGGTTCAAAAGTAACCGAACACAAATGTATCATTGCTAGCCAAATCACAGCAACTGTCTCATTCAGAAAGGATAGAAATGGGATCAAGATCCTCACTTGATAACTCCAGGTCTATTGATTTGTTCCCTTCTGGTACGAGAAATCCTCCTGGGCACCTCCGTAGTTAATGCATACATCTTCACAGGAAATAATTCCTCGGGAAATCCCTTTTGGTCCTAAAATCATGAGCACAATAAAGTAGAAGAAACTCGGTATTTGAGAGGAGGAATAACACAGGGTTCAAGTTTGCAAGGAAAGTGAGTGCACATGTAACAGAATTATACCCAGTTATAAGGAGTGTTAATGGATTGAGTTGGGACGTGCTGGTTACAAGTTTATTCATATTCAATCTAAGTAACCCAATCCTTTATAAGCAAGGTAAGCTTCTCTTCACACTGCTATTGAATTGGCTAACTAATTCACATTTCATTTGATTTTTTTCATCAAATAAATGCAAATTAAATTCCTTTATGGAATAAGTTCCGGAATCCAGTATGAATTTGCGAGCAAGTTGCAAGGTAAGCTACTAAGACCTGTCAATCGTGGTAAATAGCAATGTGAACGTGAACCATAAAAGGTGCACTACCTATCAACTGCATGCTAGTTGAAAAGTGGCTACCCTCTCCAATTCTTAGCAAACAACCGCTTTTGTTCATTTCTTTAGGGTAGTGAATAAACCAAGTATAGTGAGGTAAAGCAGGAATGTTGATAGCACTAGTTTACAACTTCATAGAACTAATAACTCAATTCCAATATTTTGAGATCAGAAGGCATCCTGACTGGAAGGATAGAAATCTAAGAGCCTCTTATGAACATAGCCAGATGAGTCTCATTTATAATTAATGCCTTGATATTTGAAGTGACTTCCACAGATGTATTTATGAAACAAAAATCGATTAAAATAAAATAACAACCGAGAAAATCATTTTGCAATCTGGTTTGATGATGGAAAAAAAATAAATCAATAAAAGTAGAGCATTGAATAGACTAAACCAAATGCATAGTCACTTTACCCTTGATTTAAATGGATAGAGTCCGCACTGATTGAATAGATCTTTATAGTATGGATCAGATCTTGTGATGCTTCGATCTTCTTTATCTAATATGAATCCTGCAACAAGATAAAATACTTGAGTTTTGATATGTTCATTTTAATTTTCAGCTAGAATGGTCCCACTGGAAAGGTCGATGAGGCAGACATGCTCTTTAAATACAAAGGTTTTTCTTTTTCTGGAAAGAAACAGAAACTTCATTGAAAATAGAAGAATGAAAATCATTTTCATTGAATGCAGATATCAGGTATTGAAATTGAGATAATAAATCTTTGTAACTAGACAGCATAATATTCATAACAAAAAGAACTGAAAATGGCAGGTACCAGATCTTGCAATATTTTCCTTCAGAATGAAAATTCCGCCAGCTTTTAGGCCCAACTGAAAGTAAAGAGCCAAAATAGGTCATAAGTCTACCTGATGACAGCATTCATAGCATTCTTAATTCTTAAGAGTTAAATCCAGCTATCAATTTTTTTTTAATAAGAGTAATCAGAAACATGAAACTTTTGATTGATTGCAAGGTGTTTCAGAGACATGAGAAGTTGATTAATTGTAAGATGATGCTATCAGAAACATGAACGACTATCGATGTGAAAGGAAAACTGAAACAGTAAGAAAAAAATAGAACCACAATAATTAATGTTCAGAAACGACCTTATCATTTACAAGAAGCACCTTAAGACTCACTTAGAATGATTTTCAAGCCAAGACCAAAAATATAATGATCATTTCATCTTTTTGTGTTACGAGGTGTCTTAAGTTTTTTTTCAGGAAATCAGTTCAAAGCAATTCTTGGGAAGTTTGAACAAAAGGAAAAAGTATACTTGAACAAAAGGCAAGAGATCCAGAGGAGGTTTGAAAACTACAAATGCCAGTTTGCACCTTTTTTTCCTTTTGCAATAATGATGATTTTCTCGTCAACGCCAACTCAAAGTCCTTTTTGTAAACAAACCTTGACCTAGGTGGATATATCTTGTCTATCCTTGTGTTTCCCACTTTCTTGTGAGAAACGACTTCCTTTGTTGATTACCGATACAATATTAAGGATTTCTATGTTCAGTATAAATGATCAAAAAGATATTTCCCTTTGATATTAATTGAAATATTGAAATTTTCATGCATAAAGTTATTTGGGATCTTTCTCAAACTATATATGTATATATATTAGTAACATGTTAGACAAGACACAGACGGAGTTTAGATGAGTATTTAGCCTTGATTACAGAATTTTAAGTTTGAATCCAAATAGAGCCTTCAAGCTTCCATTAACAGTAAATTTTGTCGCCAGTATGTCTATTGACATTTTCACATCTTAGTCTCTAATGTGAACATTATATTGACATTTTAGTAACTAATTCAAAATATATCATCCACATTAGAAGAACCACACAACAAATAAAGGTGGGATTAAAAAAGGTAGGAGCTAATGTCAGAAAAAAATTACAAGATCTAAATATCTGAAGGGTTACTGACAGCTAGACCACTTTACAGCCAAAAGGCCCCAAGAAATGGTAAATAACTCAACTAACAAAATTCTTCAGAGCTTGATTCAAGAAAAAGAGAACGACTTACCTTGGCTCTTTTAAAGAACGAGATAAAGTCCTCATCAGTGAGATGTCCAATACACCACTGAACCCAAATAACATCATATCTTCCTGCATCTGGCGTGAATTCCTAACAGTAGAGTAAAATCTAGATGTTTTAAAAGAGCGACAACGGGTTGAGCCAGTTACAAAATCAAGAAACATCCAGCCAAATACATGAATGTCAAAGATAATTCAGACATATAGGCATTTAGCATTCAAAGTTTACCGCTGGAGATCAAATATAAACAGACAGGAAAATGGAGAAGATCCAATGGCGCAGTAGCATCTACTACGATACTATAGCAACTTATCACATAAAACTCCTCAATACAATGTCTTACCTACTGGGCGTTGTACATGTATTCTGTGACATCTAGACATATTAAAAGTTGTTTTCCAGTTTTTTTACTTATTTATTATTTATTTAATTTCAAGAAATACATGGCGTGGGGATTAAACCTCCGACCTCAAGAGACAGAAGTACTGTCTAAGCCATCTAGCTATACCCATGTTTGCAATTGTTTTCCATTTTCTTATAACTCTTTCCTTTTCAGTCGCATACTAGAGGATGGTGTGAATTGGAGGAAAAAGTTTAAGAATAGGCTCTTTATACAAAAAGCAGAATTCCTTTCTCATCCAAAAAGGTACATAGACTACCAAGTACCACCTAAAGCAGCAAAGAGAAGATCTTCAGCATACAGAACCACAGAATATAACAAGTTTGCTAATTTTGCATTTGTTGGATATCACTACATTACATACTACCTGTAGCGGCACGCAAAAGAAGTTAGTGGCTTTGTGCAGATCAGAGGCCCCATTATTTTCAGGAGCCAAGCTTTCACGGGCAGCCTCTAGGAAATGTGATACAGGTTCAAGAAGATCAACCTAAGGCTCAAAAAAGGATAAATAAATAGACTTTCTGTAGGGGTAAGTTTGTATACTAGCAGATCAAAGAAATTATAAGTAAGAAAAGTAGATGTTATAATATTTTTTTCAAATTGAAGGCAACGCATTGATTTCAGAATCATGAAAATCTATATCAAAGCATAACATGAAACATCAATCACCAGAAAACCATTTATTGAAGTCAAGGAAATGAAACAAATAGCTGAACCTCAATAATGATATCCTGAGAGATGTACGAATCTTTCGAACTGTCTGATCAGATTGCACAATCCAAAAACCAAAGCAAGCACCATTTCATAAATTTTACTGGACAAATCCCAAGATAGGCAGATAAAAAGCAAGAAAGTAATATGGCAGCAACAATAAAGTAACTTGTATTATCTTACCTCATTAAAATATCTGATAAGAAGATTCTTCGCGACTCTCCCAATGCCAGAACCACAATCTGCAATAGCAGGCAGCTCCGGCATTAGTAAAACTACGTGCTCAGACATAGAGCATTAACGACAAAGTAGTACAACTCATCATATGCACAAACTAAACAAACTCGAGTAGGAATAAAAGTAAAAGAAGCCTAAATTGTAAGAAAAGAAGTAGAGCATGTAGTGAAAGCAAGTCATAAACAAAAATCTGGAATCACAAAATTAAGAAGTGGGTATAAACAGACAGACATACCAAGAGCGACAAGAGGGCGGTCTTTTCCAGCAAGAGGGAAACGTTCGGCCAAAATCGATTTGAGAAAGACTTCACTGCCCAAGATATCGCCGTCGCTAACATGGCCATAGCCACCCAAAACCCCATTCACCGATGCCTCTACACCTTGCCAATACCCTACGCCTTCACGATACCACTGGGTACGCTTAGTGGTATCTCCGACCTGCTCCATCCACATCTCCTTTGCATTCTTGAACTCGTTGCCGTCTGTATCAGCACCGCTGCCCTCCATTCGCTACGGCTACGGGTACTCCTTGATCCTGGTTCGATGCCCAAAGCGTTGGCGCGCCTGGTGTTCCAGCTCCCGGGCGTCCCTTTTTATGAGCAGTGCTCTGATTTTGTTCCCCTTGCTTTGGTTTGCAAATTAAGGATACAAATAGAACCGAGTGTCCCGAGTGTGGAAAGTGAGGAGTCCTTTAGTGTAGAGACATGGCGGGAATGGGGTTTTGTGTTGCTGACAGGCCCAAATTCATCGATAAAGGTTGGGCCTATGTGTTGTGGCCCAATTATGTTGATCTCTTTCTCCACCAATAATGCAATGCAGTGTACAGAAACCCTAAACTCCCCCAACCTCATTTTCCACCATTTTATTTTTTTTGCTTTCATGGGTAAAGTAATTAATTAGTTAGGAAGTCAAAATTAAGGTTTTCCCATACATTTGTGTGTGATTAATTAACCACAAAGTTGGTTAACGAAGTAATTAAGCAAACACTGATTATCTTAATGGAGATTGATGGGACTCATTAATGGCTTGGCCCCCACCTTTAAACCATTTTAATACTAAAGTTAAGATGGAAAGTGGATTTAATTATAGATAATGTTCATATCTAGTGGCGGCTCACCCAATTCAATGGGTTATATCCATTTTGATCCAAAGCCCATAATGCCTCCAAATCCCATCAATCAGCAAACCAAAAAATGTACAAAACATGATTGTTTGTGTGTGTCTTAGGTTTTGAAGTGAGTTTGATTGTTGTTCACTAAGTCCGATGGATTTAGCCAAAAACCCTATTTCCATTTCTGACATGTTGTTGGAGGGGTTTAATGATTCATATTATGATGCAGGCCCAAGGTGAAGTCCAAGGAAATATATATATGTCGAAATGAAAACAGAACAGAAAGCGGAGGAACACTGTTTTCCAGGTGCGTCTGATAAGAAAACTCAGTAGGCAAACCAAAGAGGTGGGGGCGGGGCAGGCGAGGGATGATAGAAGAGATGGAATAATTTGACCCCCACTTCAAAACATGTTCATCACTATTTTCACTCACCTTTCCAATCATCTACTTCTTTTCAGTGTTCCAACCCTTCTGTTCCCTCCACTTTCTGTCCCATCTCCTCCTCATACACCAATATTCCAACAACACTAACACTAACACTCATTTACTTCATTCATTCATTCACATTTATTCTTCAATCCAATATCCAAACCTATAAACTTTTGTTTCTTTTCCTTTTCTTTGCCACTCTAGAAATGTACCCAGATACCTATAATTTACTTGGAGGAAACAGAAAAAGGAATTTGTGAATTGAGGATCTTCATGGAATTTGTGAATTGTTGTTGTTGTTGTTTTGAGGTGGTGGCCAATCAAAGGGAGGATTGAATGCAAGGACGTCGTCTAACCCACCGCCCCCTTTGCATTGCTCTGATTTGTGGGGTCGAGTGAAGAAGAGGGTTAAAGAGTGGGTGTCTAATTCTTCCAAATCTGCAAAAAAATCATCGCTTTGATTGTTGTTGGTGGTATTGCTTGGCATTGCAGGCACCCTATATTGAAACCCTTCACTCAATTCATGATGCTCTTCTGTTTCCAACTGTTTCTCAATCTCCTCAACAACTTCTTCCTTAACCTTGTTATTTGATGATGATGGTGATGATCTCGTTGCTTCATTCTTGGTTTGATCTTCCTGGATTATTGTTGTTGGGGTTTGAGGTGTAGCGGGAGAGGGCTTTGAAGAAGAATTGTGTTTGGAGTGTTGGGACCTTGAAGAGCCTGCTAGAGCGTTTCTCTGAGTTGGCCATGGATGGTTGTGCTCGGATGTGTAAGTAATCACCAGCATGTTGGGATCTGTTCTACTTCTCTCCACTTGTTTTCTGGCCGAACAACCCTTTGAGCTGCTGCATCTGTAGTACCCCTGGATGCATCAATGCTTCTAAATTACATTCATAGTCCTACAAGATTAGACCCGAGCCGAGACTACTTCTAACCGATATTATTTGGTTTGGCCAATAGACAGAGTCTAGCCCTACTCTAACTAGTACCTTGCAACGTCTAGTGACTGACTCTAATACCATTTGTAACCGTCTAAGTCACCGTTAGCACATATTGTCTTCTTTGGGCTTTCTATCATAGGCTTCGACTCAAGGTTTACGAGGGAAGTGAGTGAGCATTAAAATGCAGAAGAGAAAGATGATGCAATGATAGAATTTGATGTATATGAAATTAGAGGAAGTTTTGAGATTGATAAAGATGATGAAGGGGTTAAAAGAAAGAAAAGGATACCTAGGATAGGGAGAGCCTTTAATGGGTTTCTGACCATATTTCCTCCAAGCCCACAGATCAGAAGGAATAAGTTCCCCATTTGGTCTGCTGCTGCTGCGGCTGCTACTGCCACCCACTGGAGCAGGAACACACACCACCTTCCTCGCTTGCCTCTTCCTAAACACCAACACACACATACACAACCCATTCAAGACATCAAATACTCTGAGCCCTTCTTGTGGGGATTAAAAAAAAAAACCCTAGTTTTTGTCCTATAAAAATCAGCTCGTGAGTTACCTTGGGTTGACACCAGGCGGCTTGGTAGGAGAAGAGATGTGAAGGGGAGAAGGAATTAGGAAATTGGAAGGGGAAGAAGTAAGTGTTGAAGCATGCGTGAGAATACATTGGAGGGTGGTTTGATAAGCTCATCGTCTTCATCCACACCAAACAACACACTTCCTCTGTCCTCGACAAGTGGATCTCTGATGGGTGCACCACAAAAGGGATCCCCGAAACTGAATTCATCTTCATGTTTGGATGAAAATTCCCAAGATTGTTGTGATGAACAAAAGGGTTGGTGGGCAACATCTTGTGATTTGCATCCGTAGGAACTACAACTACTTCTCCTTCCTCCTCCTCTCACAATATCACTCAAATCGCCTTCGTAATTCTCCATCCAAAACCCTTCTTTTTTTTTTCTTTTTTTTTTTTTGTCTTCTATGAGTAGGAATCGAATCGGCTCTAAGGAGAGGATGAATTTGGTCATTCAGGAAGCATCAAATCAAAACCCTCCCACAAAACTGCCTTTAAACCCCACATTTGGCTTTCGGAGAGACTCGCTGACCCTCCAACGCAAATTATAGCCTCTTCTGTTCTTCATACAGGAGGACCCAAAAACGATTTTTTTTTTTTTTTTTTATTGCTTTTTCACCTACTTAGGTAATAATAAAAATAAAACCCAACCATATTGACATTAATATAAAAATGATTACCATATGGTTTTCCGCTTCATTGTTATTTTAAAAATTCCCTACCATATGGTTTTCCGCTTCATTATTATTTTAAAAATTCCCTTGTAATAAATACCCACTAAATTTCCATTTTCTTCTTCCTAAAAATTAAATAATAAATTGCCAACTTTGGCACCTAATTATTGGCATCACGATTGGATTGGGGATTTATTAATATTATTTTCTTTTTATAATAATATGCCTGCAACCTCATCAACTCTCCGTAATTAATTAATTTCCACACCGCAGTATTTCTGCCTCGTCACACGTGTCTACGACCGCCTGTATATATAAATATAAAGTATTAAAATAATTTATAATCAGAAAATCATGTACTTCACAAATATGAAATAATATTTTCCTACGTGGGATGAAGGAGTTATATGATTGGTGCATAAATTAAAGAAATAAAATCCCAAATTTTGAGATCTTTTATATTAAACACACCTTGTTTGCATTCATAATTAAAATAGTCTACACATTAAATATAATAATTTAAAATATAATAATTTAAAATATAATAATTTAAAATATAATAATTTAAGTGGAAAGTAGGGGCCCATTACATTAAACTAAAACCATATAATAAAATAAATATATATCTTCTTGATTCTGTGCAACTGCTTTAATTAGGATGTGACAGTGTATGATCTTCCATACAATTATTTTTCATTGGAAAATATATGACATTAATTTAATATGGAAAGGATGGGATTATATGTTAACCTATCTTCTTCTCTTCCTCTCATCTTCTTCGTCACATTCTATAATATTATCAAAATTTGGAGTTTGTGGAGTAAGTATGACCCAATTTGTCTTGCTAGCCACGCTAAAGTTCCAAACTTTGTTGTCGAGTTATACAAGGCATTGAGTTGATTCTGTTGGGGATGCACAAAATACTATATGTGAGATCCCACATTGGTTGAGAAGGAAAACGAAGTATTTCTTCTAAGAGTGTGGAAATCTCTCTCGACTATGCGTGTTTTAAAACCTTGAGGGGAAACCCTAAAAGGAAAAGCTATATATATATATATATATATATATATATATTTTTTGTTCGTGCTTTTTTCTTCATATAGGGATTGATGCAAACGAGTGTTTTATTTACTTTCAACTTTCATTTTTCTTAAACATTTGTCTTTCATTTATTGATCATTTGACTTGTTTTTGTACGGATTAGGATAGTTCTGTTTGGAACTTCCAACACAACGTTTACCAACTACTTGAATATGAGAAGATGACAGCTTGGTCAAAAACAAGTCATGCCATGTTTTAAAAATTACATGAAATGGAATTGGAATTTGAATTAGTCCTTAAATCCTTATACACTATAACCACATTGAAGTTTTGATGCTATAATTCAGCAACATACTATACTACATTCCAATACCACAACTTAGAAATGACTGAATCACTCCTCTCAAACACATCAGTGATGGAGGAAAATGCAGATTTCCAGAGATGAATCAACTTAAATTCTGCTGGATTCTGGCTGTGAGTAGCAGAAGACTCATGGCCATCTAATAACATTTGGAAACCTTTTTCCGTCGTAGGAGTTGGGAAAAAAATCCTAACTTTCTGTAAACTTCTAACTCACAAGAAGGCTAACTAGCCGGGTGAGAATCTATCATTGTCAATAAAGATTGCAGAATCTACAACATTTTATACAATATCACACTTTTCCGTTCCCCTTCCTCCTGTAGTATAAAACGTATACCACCTCCCATTTGAGCTAAGCTAAGAGGCAAGTTGTGACTTGACCTTTCATTTTCCCCATCGCTTCTGCTGCTGTTGCAGTGATCCAGTTGAACGAGGTGATGGATCGGGGCTTTCCGAGACTTCGAGATGGGTTGGCAAATGATTAGGAAAACTTCTTTGAACAGGCTGCTCTGAAGAATCTGCTGTGGCTAAGAAAGGGGGGGAGAGAGTCAAACAGAGAGGCCAGAAGGTAAGAATATGTTATGGAACCGAACAATTTGAATCAAAAAAATTGTGAATGTGTACCAAATAGAGTGGTAACAGATGGTCTCTTGGTCTTGTTAAGCTTTTTCCTCGTCTCAGCTGCAAGTAGAGATTGAAGCAACTATAAGTTCGTGGATTTTAAGAAACTGGTGGAATACGGTTCTCATGTGAAACATACTAACAGAACCATACATATCATAATGCTAGAACGAAACTTGGACTTGAATATTAACCGTATTGATATACTACTAACTAGGACTGCCCCATGTTCATTTGGAACTGAGTTGTTAGATTGAATGAAAATAAGTAGATACATACTAATGCCAGACAAGTGGTGTTCGTTGACAATTTCAAAATTCTTGTACGTATAACCAACAAAGTTTACATCCTTGGGTGAAAGCTTCTGCTGAACAACAAAAGCTTGTGTCAGTCGCTACAGAAAAAAATAATAATAATAATAGGAGAAGGATCAGGGACGGTAAGATGCACGTAGCCACAGTTCAAGAATAAACAATATAAATATTCTAGAGCAAGCATTAAAATGAAAACCAACAAAATTTAGCATGAAAATCTGTGTCCTTGCATTGAAAATTTTGAGATTCTGTACCACTGCAAGCACTTGTCAGGTTAACCAATCATATGGCATTTAAAATTAATGGTTGTTTGGACATGTTTTTACTTGTTTGTAACAGTTTTGTATATAACGTTTTACAAAGATGTCCTGAAAAACATTCTACCAATCTTAGCAGAAGTGTTTTTTTGACGTTCCATCAATCCTATGACATTTCAAATAATAGTAATAATAGTAATATTGTCTCCCTCATGTCAATGACGAACTTTTTGATTCACAAAGATATCTGTGGAAGTATTAACATGTCAATGGAAACACAATTCCATGCTGGTAATCCTCATCAGATAAATTCCGATCATCTTTTAAAACCAGTGATGGTCGAAAAAAAAGAAAAAAGAAAACTTGAGATATGCCAACTAAAGAGATTAAATATCTTAAGATTTTCTCACTTTCCAACACATTGAAAGAACAACTGTCAGCAAACATACCGGATCACTTGTGTGATTAGCTGAATGGAAGATTTAAAGGCTTCCCAGAACAAAGAAAAAAACAAAAACAGACTTGCCTTTCTCAAAGGACCCGACTTTGATGGAGTTTGACCTGGCACACCCAGCTGCATAACACAAAAATTCACTATAACAGCTGTTTTGATATCAATTCTTTTACTACCGTAACAAATCAATGCCATCCTCATTCAGATAGCAAAGTAACCAATAACTGGCCACTATACGGAAAATGATAATATTTACCTCTTCATACTTCTCAAAATTTCGAGTGTCTAACTCATCATGGATCTCTGGGATGATAACAGCTTCCATTTGATATAATTTATCCCATTGTATCCCTTTAAACCATGGATGCGCCTAACAAGGAGCATTCGTTGAGCCATATAATCAATTTAATAAATGAATTGAAAAGGATAAAGGAACTTATATGCTAACCTTAATTTCTATAGCTCCTTTGGTTCCAATTCTTTGCTCAACATTGCATAAAAGTTTGCAAATAAGATCTTTGGCCTCAAAGGAAAGTTTTGCTTCTTTTGGGAATCTCAAATGAGTTCTCCAGTTAATGATCTGCACAACATACATTTACCATTTGTTTGATGATCATACTTAAGATCAGAAGTTAGCAGTACCATCATTCGTTTCATAGGCCAAAATATGTAACCTTGAAGATCTAATATTATGCCATAGAATTTTAAACATGTATTTTAACCATTTTCATTACCTAATCAAGAGAGCTAAGGAGAGGTCTATATGCCTACTGCCTATGTTCACAAAGTGTTGATTGCTCATACCTTTCTACAAGTAGACATTGGATCATCAGAATAGAAAGGTGGAAATCCCACAAGCATTTCGTACATAATTGCACCAAGGGACCACCTAAAAGAAACTTCTTATTACAATTTGATCAAGAACCATATTGAAATGATGTTAGACACAAGAAACAAGCATACCAGTCGCACTCAATTCCATATCCTTTCCTCAATAACACTTCTGGGGCAATATAGTCCGGCGTTCCAACAGCAGAATAAGCCTAAAACCAACACATTAATTAGAATGAAAATTATAATAAAATCACTAGGAAACTTATGTTCAGATAAACACATACATATGAAGGGAGAAAGAGAAGTTCGACAAAAGATGTACACCTGTATATACATAAGGATGTGAAATGGACACATTGATTTAAATTAAAAAGAAAATGTTTATATCTTTTCTTCTATTAAAATTAACGAGAAAGTTGACAGGAAGCTAAAGCTGTTACTTATATTTTTCAACAATCATACGTCCATAGCCAACTAAGGGTACAGGATCTTGGGGTAAGATTGCCCCCACCTAAAAAGAAGTAAATATCAGTTAAAATAATTTGAACAAGAGTTGGAATTTCATCTCTAGATTTACGACTAAATGGAAAGCTATGACGCCAAAATATCTGAATGATCAAAGAAAGAATGTCCGATAATTAAATTAAAAATAAATAAAGATGGAAGTAGGGCCCTGAATTTGAGTTGGAACTAAAAAAATGCAATGTCGGACAAAAATTTCAACAGGCAATTTAGAATTCTCACCAGATGGTTGAATTATATATATTAAATTTCCATACAACATATATCGGTCTGATACTTAATCTTTATCTAACAAAGAAAAAAAACGAAAGAAGAGCAAAGAAGAAAATATAGTTGCTGTTCAGGAAGAAAAATAAATCAACTCATGATCAATAAATTTTGATTGTGTTTCTCTTTGCCATTCTATTTATAAGACGTAGAAGCACTGTAACAAACAACTTTGAACATCTTC